TTATGAATAAACTTTTAAACAATCCGAAATAATCATTTTGATATAAACTATAGTAAAAGGACGGGAAGGAAAGAAGGAAAGGGTGAAAACTAAAGATTAGAAAAATGAACAAATTTTGAATGCAAAGATTAAAGCATGACCGGGTATTACGGGTGAACTGTGTACAAGTATACTTATATTAGGGTTGCCAGCTGTCCTTATTTTGAAGCAAAATATCCTTGTGACTTTTTAAATCTTAAAATGTCCTTTTTACGGCAAATTTCCTCTTTTACGACAAATGATTTTGTTTTCTATGACAAATGTCTTTATTTTTGGAAGGGACATGACATGGTTTGTACAAAAATATATAAGTTGAGGATCTTTTTTTTTTTTCTTTTTAGAAGCTTGGCAAGACGAGGATTTTTTTATTCCGCTCGACGCCCTTTTTTTTGAAGCTCGGTATAATGATGAGGAGGATGTCGTTCAGCTTGATGACCTTAACTTAAGCTTTATTCCAGCGTCCAATCACCTGATTAGATTTTGGGCAGAGTCGGAACATCTGGCGGGTACTTTATAGGTGGTCATTTTTATATTATATGGAATATACCTGTTATTTACGTTTGGGGAAGAAAATTCTTTAAATAAAAGTTACTTCTAATATTGTTATCTATAATTTTTGTGTTTTACAAAATTTTCCTAAAATGTAAAAAAAAATAATTTTTTATAAAAATTGTTCAAATAAAAGTTGTTTGTAATATAATTCTCTATAATTTTATTTCATACATAATTTCTCTAAAATAGACCGTATTCGAGATATTAAATGTGTAAATTTCGAATTTTGAAGAAAACTCAAAAACGGATAAAGAAAAAAACATTAAATTTTAAACTTAAGTTTTATTTCGGCCTGACGTGAAATGATTATATTTTGGACAAAGTCGGAACATCTGGGGGGTACTTTATGGGAGGCCGTTTTTATATTTTATGAAATATATCTGTTATTTATGTTTGGAGAAGAAAATTGTATAAATAAAAGTTACTTCTAATATTATCTATAATTTTTGAATTGTGAAAATTTCCTGAAATGGTTCGTATTCGAGAAATTTGACAAAATGTGCAAAATTCTGATATTTATGAAAATTGTTGGACTAAAAGTTGTTTGCGATATCGATCTATATAATTTTTGTTTATACATGTTTTTTCTATAATGAACCGTAATGGAAAAATTGTAGGAAAAGTGCAAAATTAAAATTTTTCAGTATTTTCGTTTTCAATGAATATCTATAGAAAAATGTTTCGAGGTAGATGTATGTGGAAAATGTATATATTTAGTTTATTCTCTAAACATTTATAGAGGTACTGCAATAGGTTGTACAAAATAACCGGAAAAAGCCTATAATAACTAGATAGGAAAGTCATGTGTTGGACACATCAGATTTTTTTTTGTGAAGTTCACTAAAGGATAAGGCCTTTTCTTTGTGAAGTTTACTAAAGGATGAGGACTTTTTTGCTTTTTATATACCAGAGCCCCTGTCAGCATTGTAGTCCTTTTTTCACTTTTCAAAAAGGTGGCAACCTTAACGTATATTCTCTGAAACTCTCTTATAAGTCCATCGGCCGTAAATGCGATATTACAATGTCTGTAGTAGAGGGTATAGAGGAGAAAAAACATTTCTTAATTTGAAATAAAGGTAGTACTCTCTCAGCCCAAACTGAGTGAAACAAGAATCGTTGTCAATTGTAAAGAATGTTTCAAACACGACAAACCGTATGAAACAGGTTGATGGAGTCAAACTCGTCCTAAAAATGAATTCATTTACATAAAAATAAAAAGGCGAAAATGTTGTACCCCGAAGAAAGCCGTTATTAACAAATTCAAGAAATTGACACGTATTATTTTAGAAAACTACAAACATTGCTCGAGCAAAACGAGGATCATAAAATGAAAGTTATTGGTAACTACTATCAAAGGTCAAGGATAAGTTAATTTTTTACTTCATAAGCCTGATGACGACACTGCGTGATCGAAACCATTAGCAAAATATATAAAAAACAAAACAATAAATTACGGTGACCAACATTTTTTTGTTGTATTTAGTGCATTCGAAAAGTTAAGGACAGCAATAAATAAGATGGTACGTTCAATTAGATTACATGGCAACAGAAATGGAACTCTTCATCCGTCTAATCAACACTAATTTTTTTATGTAACCTATGATTGCAAATATATTACATTACGAGTGTGGAAAGTGACATTTTTCACATGAGTGGGAAATATTGTCGCACGAGTCACAAGCCGAGTGCGACTATCACACGAGTGTGGAAAATCACTTTTCACACAAGTGATGTACAATATTTTTCCTACGACCATAAAATAATTTCATCAAAAAATGTAAAACCAGGTTATTATTATAATAATTAAAATGTATTTGAAAAAATAATCAACAATAATTGTATTTATTCAATTTTCATATTTTCTAAACAAAAAAAAAATAAAAGAAACAAAAAAAATTCTGGCCCCGCCAGGATTTGAACACGGTCACTCGCCAGGTCTCAAATGGCAAAGTTGATAAGTTTGACACTCTAACCATCTGAGCTAATAGGCCTTGCGTCGATTGAATGATCTAATCGGTTATGTGTTTAACCAGAATAAAAAGCAAACATATCTTAGTTATTTTAAAATTATTTTAATAATAATTGTTAAAGATAAATATCTAGGATCTAATTTACAACAATTTCAATAATTTAACAATCATATCGATTTTAGTAATAATATGGACATTACATAGATCAAAATAGAAATGATGTGTTTGACAGTTTGTGACAGCTGCTGCGGAAAGTAGCATATTCGTACACGAGTGGAAAGTAAATTCTTATTCATACGCGTGTGATATAGGGCACTTTCCATAGGACTATATAGTGTGATATGTGTCACTTTCCTAAGTGGTCGTAGGAAAAGTAATGAACTTAATTGGTTTCACGCTTCAAAAATTTGCAAAATGTATATGCAACTGTTTACAAAACTAGATAGTTTAAAACTGTAATATCAATGCGAGAATCGTGGCATAATGGTAGGTATTTTCTCTTTTCAAGCTGATCCTATAAAATACCAATATTTCATAAAAGGACCCAGCACTTTTTATGTCGATTTTGGAAACTGTTAGAATTTGTTCAAATTTAAATACCTATGTTATTTTTCAAGTCATTAAAGTCAATTTTCATATGGACCCCAAGTTTGTAGCCCTATAGGGTAAGCTGTTAGAAGAAGTCAAAGGTAAGGAGTGCTAAATTAATATTTTCATATATATCTCTACCACTCTTAAATAATTCATGTAATACCTACAGGGTATGATAGAGCTACGTAATAAATTATTAAATACAAGAACGCATTTAATGGAAAACTTGGTATGCCTATAATATTCTAGAAATAGTCTTATTATAATAAATAAGTGATCAAAATTCATGTTGTAATTGATATAAACAAATTACTGAAAGGGATATGTTATAAAAATATACTTGTGATATACCAAATGTCTCTATTTTTCCACCAAGTTCAATTTCAAGTATATATTCAATTTTCTAGGTCTATGTTTTTAATATCTAAACACATTCGAATAAAAAATAATGTATGAAATACGAGCAAAAAGCGTTTTTACATAATAGTAATAGTAAGTCTACGTCTACGTCTACGTCTCGTCGGTCTCATCTGGAAATCTCGTAGTCGTAATGTAATTCTTTGTTTGAATGTGTTTAGATAATAAAAAAATGTAGAATAGTAGTTTTTGCAATAAGAGTGGATATGAACAATCCACTCGAATTGTACAGTATATTTTTTCTACGACCCACTAACGAAAATCTATTTTTTCTACGACCCACTAACGAAAATCTACTAATTTAAAATATTATTTTAGGTCAATAAGTCAAAATAACTAAGTTTAAAATAATTTATGACTTTTACTAATTTACAAAAAATAAAATAAATATGAAAAAAAGATTTAATTTAATTAGCCCAGATTTGAACCAGAGCCTCTCGTATACAGCCAAACTCCCTGGTCTCACCTTCATGGAGACACTTACTATTTTGTTTTAATAATTAAATTAGTTTCATATAGTCTGCGATTCAAATTGATGATTTATTTGTAACAATAGACGAAATAAAAATAGAAATGCTATTATTTATCGATTCTACACAAGTATAACTCATTTTTACGTATATTTAATCTGAATAACTAAAATATATACTGACAATTAGTTTGACAGAATTGTCACTTATATAAAATTTAAAAAATAATAGTGGCCGGGTGACCAAAATATGAACTATGATTGGTATTTCATTTTTGTTCTTACTAGGTAGAATGGATATGAAATATATTCGTTTAGTTGAACGCAATGGCATACTTTTTCGTTTTGTGGTCTGTGCGTAGATAAGCTAATATCCATGTGGGAGTAAAAAAAATAAAATCTGAAATTACGTTATTTCCAATTTTTTTGATAACTAAGATGGCTGTGATCTATGAGAATAAAATAGATATGTTTTTGATAAAAATTGAACAATTGATGCCTTATATGTCAAACAAATTAATTTTATTATAGTTTATTTCATTTGTTGTTCATTAAATTAAAATTGCTTGTGTTTAAATCTGAAGTTGAATATGTACTATGGACTACTATTTTACAATAGAAAAAAAAATAACCTTGTAGCGGTACTGTTAAAAAATAAACTAAAAATAAAAAATAATGTTCAAAAATCGGAGTCGTCTGACTTTTTCGGCATTAATTTTTACTTTTGTAAAGCGGGTTTAAAGTACCTCTGCAGAAAAGTTCTACTTTTCGATTGTTCTCTGTCCGAAAAAAAGATAAGAACCATATTTTCTCAAGATAAACGATTTTTTATTTAAATTTTCTTCGAATTAGAAAAAACAAAATTTAGGTTGGATAATTTTTAGGTCCCGTAAAATTATAATTGTCCTAAATAGAAAATTGCCGATTGTTTTTATTTTATATTTTTTAAATTAAAAACTTACCATTAATATCTGAACACAGCAGTACAAACGAGATGAACATCACTGCATTTTTAATCCATAAAAAAGTCAATAGTGCCATGTTGGACCAGGTCAGTCACATATAACGTACAAAAAGTGACATACAGTGTTCATTTTATAATTTAAAAAACCGCACGGAGAAAATCCTCTGACAATTTGTGCACTGTTTAATTTTTTTAAATATTTTTTTTTTAATTAAGGACCAGACAATGACCTACCGCACACTTTTACATGGCCAACCAAGATTAATCTTGCGTGTTTAAAAAAACACAGTAAGTAACTGTTAGTTACATCAATAATTAACTTGAAATTATCGGATGGTGAGATATTTTTCAGAATTACAGTATTTAAAAAAAATTAGGTCACAATGTTTTAAACTGATCACCACAAACACATTCACCAAACCCCTTCGGTCCTAATTTATTGTTATTCACATTTTGTGATTATTGTCTTACAATAACATACAAAATAATAGAAATTTTGGTAAGAGTTTAGACGATTTCACCACATATTTCAAGTTAGATGACGCAGCGTTGGCTTCTTCACTAGACTGGCCAAGTAACGGAACCATGAGGACGTACAAGAAATATGCGAACATACCGGTGATAGGAACAAGCGGGGTAAAACTTAAGAAGGCATCAATCAGGTGCGATAAGAAGTTTTTATGTATTGAAAAAAAATATTTTTAAGGGGTACGTTTTTATAGCCTAGTAAGTACAACTCATTTTTAATGGAACCATTATTTCGGGGGGACAAAAGTATACGTCATGGTTTTTTATATCATTTGTCAAAATGACATTATTCAATACTATTACTTAAAAGGGTATTTTTGAAATAAAAAATCAGATAGGAGAATTTTGATTTGTCATTGGGGAGTTTAATAAAATTAAATATTAAATGCAAGGTCTAAAAAAGTTTGTAGTCAAAGGAAATAAAGTTTACTAAAGATAAGGAACGAGTATAATTTAAAAAAGTTTGAGAAGGGGTTAAAGATATAAAGATCAAAATAAAAGTATTAGTGTAAAGGAGCAAAGGAAACTGAGGTGCAGCACTAGAAAATAAAGGTAGGAGAAAGGTGAGTAGATAGTTTAGAATAATTTATTAGGACCTGAAGACAAATAGAGAAGACTTTATTTTGTTAAATGTTAATGTGAGATTCATTTTTTTTTTTTATTTTTTCAGATGTTTTAACCCAACCCAAGTAGAGATATTATAAATTTCAAAATTGAGGGTATTAAATACTACATCACCCAACAAACATTTTGGTCTGGAAAAATAATGGCTCAATAACTGTCTGCCTCCAATTATGATAGCGTTCTATTTTTTACTTACAAAGGGCCGACATGTATAGTTTACTACGGCCGATAGTCAGACCATAGTTAATTTGCTATCAACATCAGTTACAGGAATTTTAACATTCCACAGTCACTTTGACATCATACAGGTAAAGTACCTTTAACAGCCCTTTACTATTTTAATCGTTAAAACCTCGGCCATCGAGGCAGGCTCTATATTGGCTATTTTAAATGAGTCAGCAGCTTATTGGAAAATAAAGGTCTAGTTTGAGGAAAGCGATCTTTGAATTGCTGATCATTTTCATTTTACCACAAACTTAAAATTCAACTGTTGATAGGTTTTGTGCATGCCTATCAACTTGAAGGTTAATTATTTAGAATCTAACAGAAGGTACATAGTTAGGACAAAAATTGTGACAAAAAATATTTCCTTTAAAAATTTACATTAAATTATTATACTTAAGTAGGTATATGTTAATTAATTTTTTTATCTTATTCGATCTATACTCCTTGTGCGATCGCCTGCAGACTCTACACTTGAGTGGCAGTTAACTAAAACTTATTATTAGAAGCGCAGAATGTGGAGCTATCGACCACATTGTGGAAAATCGTCAGTCAAAAAGACGAGGGCAAAGGCCAGATCCTTAGGTTAGGAATAGATGACCTATCCTGCCAACGGATCAAGGATAATGGATGTACTATCCACTATCGATTCGGGAAAATCCCCGTACACGGCCTTCAAAAAAAAGAGGAAATAAAGGAACTGGGAGAAACAACAGAACCAACTCCTAGTACTTCCAAAGATGAGACTGATGTGGAGAGCATAGAGAGCCTTAACCTCTCAAATCTCTGTGTAGACACATCTGAGGATGTAGAAATTGATGAAGAAGCAGAAGAGGGGGATATGGAACACACCCTCACCGATGGGGACAACACCCCCATTAAAGGAGAGTAAAAGGCGGGCATCGACATCGCCCAAGAGAGCCTCGGCTGTGATCTCCAGGACATTCGCTAAAGATCAATTAGGGATCGTACTGATCCAGAAACCGTGGGTCTATGGAAACCAGGTAAGAGGACTTGCATGTAAGAATGCAAGGGTAATTTATCACACTAGTGATGAAGTACCCAGAACATGCATAATGGTAAGAAGTAATATTAAACATTCTTGTCTTTCAGAATTCATGACGCGTGATCTCGTTCCAATTGAGCATACCTGGAATTAGGGATGAGGCGGCAAGACATAGTAATATCTTCTAGTTACTTCGCCGGAGATGGGCATGTATCACCCCCGGAAGTATCGATGCTAGTGGAGTACTGCCAGAGAAGACATTTGCCATTACTTCTTGGATGCGACGAAAACGCGCACAGAACCGTATGGGGAAGCAACAACACCAATCAAAGAGGTGAGCAACTTTTAGAATATATTTTTAATAAGAACCTTATTGTGCAAAATATTGGGAATACTCCAACATTTGTAACAAGGGCAAGAAGTGAGGTATTAGACATCACATTAAGCACAACGAGCATTAAAGATCTAGTTAAAAACTGAAGGGTATCGAGTGAACCATCTCTATTTGATCACAAGATAATTATGTTTACGTTACAGAACGACATTCTCGAGATGATCCTCAGGAGGAATCCTAGAAAAACAGACTGTGACAAATACAACACCACTCTAAAACAAAATTTAGCACGTATCCAGACAACAAAGGCGCCTGGGCACCCACTTGCTCTGGAAAACGATCTCGAAGAACCAAATGGGGCAATACTTGAGGCATATGAATCAAGCTGTCCCATTCAAAGAAATAGAACTAGTAGAGATGCTCCTTGGTGGAACCGTCATCTGTCAAACTTACGATCCGAAGAGCGGAAGCTCTATAATAGGGCCAAGCACAGCGGAGATTGGCAGAGCTACACCGAGACGCTTACTACCTACAACAAAGAAATCAGGAAAGCTAAACGTAACAGCTTTAAAAAATTCTGTGAGGATATTAACTCTACACCTGCGGCAGCGAGACTGCTCAGGGTTCTGGCAAAAGGGAGAGTTGATACAGTTATGGCATTAAAGAAACCAAATGGAAGCTTCACGGAGAGTGAGGAGGAAAGAGCTCGCCTCTTACTCTTACTTTCCTGAAAGCACACCTTTTCTAATAAGGGACACAACTAAGGTAAGCAGGCCCCCAAGAGAGGCCGCTGTAGTGGCCAAACACATATGCAGCAAAAATCGGTTAAAGTGGGCCGTAAATACTTTTGAACCGTTTAAGTCTCCAGGTGTGGATGGAATATTTTCTGCCCTGATTCATCAGGCACAGGAGGAATTACTACCACACATAATCCGGCTATCCCGGAGCAGTCTGGAGCTGGGATATATACCAGAAGCATGAAGAAGGGCCAGAGTCACCTTTATTCCAAAAGTAGGGAAAAAGATACCACACATCCTAAATCCTTCCTACCAATCAGCCTCACATCCTTTGTATTAAAAACAATGAAGAAGGCTGTTGATAATTATATCAGAACGGAAGTCCTGGAGAGGGTGCCACTCCACCACAGCCAACACGCGTACAGAGCAGGAAGATCTACAGAAACTGCCCTGGTACAGTTGACTGACGTAATCCAGGATGCACTGAAAAACATAGAAATGGTCGTGTGTGCCTTCCTAGACATAGAAGGAGCTTTTGACAACACGCCACACGAATCTGTAAAAAGAGCACTTGCATACAGAGGAGTAGATAACATCACATCCAGATGGATGGCTTAGCTGTTATCTACGAGAACTGCAGAGACACAGATAGAGCAGGACACCATCTCCATCTGCACAACCAGAGGATGTCCACAAGGAGGAGTTCTATCCCCACTAATGTGGAGCCTAATCGTAGACGAACTTCTATGCAGATTGACTGACCTCGGCATACCCTGTCAAGGTTATGCCGACGACATAGTCATATTTGCTAGTGGCAAGTTTAGTAATATTCTGTGTGATATAGTTCAACGAGAACTAGAACATACCAAAAGATGGTGCCGTGAAGTGGGACTTAGTATAAACCCTACAAAAACAATACTAGTAGCCTTTTCAAGGAAAAGAAAACTTAATCTCAAAACCGTTAAATTAGACGGGACAGATATAGAATGGAAAAATGAAGTCAAATATCTAGGCCTTACCCTGGACAACAAACTTCACTGGAACACACATGAGAAGGAAGTAGTAAATAAGGCCACAAAGGCCCTAATGGTATGCAGAAACATTGCAGATAAACGATGGGGATGTAACCCAAACATACTGCGATGGGTGTATATTGCAATAGTGAGACCAATCATCACTTACGGGGCTATAGCTTGGAGAACAGAACTAGTTTAGCTACTACGAGAGCTAATATCTCAAAATTACAAAGACTAGCCTGTGTTTGTATTACTGGTGCAATGAGAACCTGTCCTACGGCCGCGATGGAGGTGATCTTAATCCTCATCCCTCTACAATTGATGATAGAGAATGTGGCAAAAAGGACACGATATAAAATGATCAGGAACGGAGTAATCAGACGAAAGTCTACTTGCTTCAGGACTAAAGATACCTGGGACATGCCCCAGGATGAAATACTAAAGAAGTACAGTTTTGTGAAAAACTTCAAAACCACAGAACTGGGCTGCAAGAAATAATGGAGCCAAGAATCCATCAGGCTTGCAACAGAAAGACGTGCTATTCAGTGGTATACGGATGGTTCCAAAACCATAGGAGGAACTGGAACAGGAGTGTTTGGGCCGAGAACCAAGCACTCCGAAAGCTTGAGAAAATACCCAAGCATCTTCCAGGTGGAAATTCACACCATCGAGAAGTGTATCCAGTTTAACATCGAGAGAAACTATCATAGACAAGGGATTATCATCATGTCCGATGGTCAAGCATCCATCAAAGCGCTGAGCTCTTACGTAATCAGCTCAAAAATGGTCTGGAGATGCCTAGAACAATTGAATGAGCTAGGCGAGAAAAATAGAGTTACTCTCACTTGGGTCCCGGGACATACCGGGGTACAGGGTAACGAGATTGCGGATAGTCTTGCAAGGAAAGGGGCTCAAACACCCTTTGTAGGACCTGAGCCGTTCTGCGGTATCAGCAGTAACTTAATATTAGGAAAGATTAATAAAGAATTGGGCAGTAGAAGAACCGATAATTGGAACAATCTCTTGGGGCTGAGACAAGCCAAGATACTTCTGGGTGAATATAACCAGAAAAGATCGGAAGCCTGCATCTGTCTGAGCAAGAACAGCCTACGTATTGTAACAGGGATCCTTACCGGGCATTGCCGACTAAAAGGACACCTAAGTAAACTGAGAATAGTAGAGGATAGTGAGTGCAGATTCTGTGAGGAGGAGGACGAAGCCTCCATTCACATCCTAACTGAATGTGTAGCACTCCAGAATCCAAGGGCACTATATCTAAGAGGATATCAAATAGAAGAGGGAGATTTACCTAACTTGAAGCCACTTCAAATCCTACACTTTCTTGAGAAAATAGGATTGGAAGGGTCATTATAGGCATGAGACATTTCCTTAGTGCATTGGCTACAATAGATCTTTTAGGTCGCAGTGTATTAACACCCCATTCTCAACATAACATAACATAATTAAAACTGATAATAATAAAATATATTTGAACCACTGATACACTATTACCCTTTTTTAAATTCAGGAAAATGAAGCAATAAATAAATAATGAAATTAATTCTGCGTCTTTTTTGATAAAACCTGAATAAAACAGTTGGTTAAGTAATCGGTAATTATAAAATTTAAAATCTGGAAACAGGAACTATTTTAATACTTCCTATTTTCCTAAGATTCCATCAAAACACTAACTTTGAAAAAACAATGATAAAACTTAAAACATCTTATGCAAGTACCTACAAAATGACATTCATAAAAACGTGTCTAAAATTTCTTCTTATTTTGCTTTTGTATAGCTGGGACAAAAGTTGACAAGGCGATAGACAAATGACAAAAAAATGACAAATCCAATCAGAGAACTTCAAGAATTTCGCAGTAATGTTTGTTCGCCATTGCCGTATCATAGAATAATAATAATACCGACCATTTTAAATTATTACCGGCTGAATAGGGTAATCCTATCTAATTATGAGCTAGAAATAATTGTTTTAACAAGTAGTAATATCCCAAATCATAATTCTATAAAATTTCAACAGCTATTCACAATTTATTAAACTATTTACGTGAAATTGTTGTTAGCATCTATAAAGAATTTTCTACGCCAATGTTTCGTAATCACTTCGGTTAGCTCCGCGGCAAAAATGTCAAATTCTGTGTATAAAGTGGAAGAACTGACAAAAGCCTTTCCAACTTCTGTCCCTGCTATACTGTATTTATAAATATCTAGCCACTTACAAAAAAAAATCTTACGAAAAGATTTATAACCGGTCAAAATACAATTTGATCAATTAATTCCCACCTTTTTGTTTCTATTAGCCAAAACCCATTTGCATTTTGTAGATATCATTTAAAATTCTATGAGCTCTTAAAAATATATGAGATGGACAAGTGACTGTCCCCCAACGCAAGGCTAACATCAATTAATGATTAATGGCCCACAAACCATGAAAATATAATAGCATTTCAACATTTAGCCAAGTGGGGAACATCATTCGCGGCAAATGGCCATCAATTTCCCGGTAGATGATTGTTGGATATTATTTATATTTTTTCAAAATACTCTACTCAACAATATATTGTGACCAGCCTGGTCTATAAAAAGGGGACTTAAGGTGTTGAAAACTCAATTTCCACTTTTTTGCTGATTCGCATAGTTTGAGACGCTCTTTATTGAGATGGAGAAAACTAGAAAGTCATAAATTGTTGAAGAGAGAGAGAGAGATTCAGTCCTTACATAAGATTTTAGGATTCAAGTGCCTAAATTATTATGAAGTGGCGCTGGAAACAGTGAGAAAGCCTTTACAGAACAAACATAAAAAAAAATCAGGCACAAACTGAGACTAGCATATTAGGTATGTACACACAGATAGGCCTTAAAACGAAAAAAAAATCTGCTGATGGCTTTCGGCTAGAAGCCATTATTAAAGCCTTACTAAAAATATCAAGATTAAATTTTGTCTGGTTTGCTCTTTTCCCTATTTTCTATTATATTATCTAATGTCAAAAAAACTATAATATACCTACTTTGTATATACATACAAGTATAATAATTCACAATAAAAAATTACTCCGCTTCCTCCTAGTAGAAACCTCCTTATACAGGTGGAGTTCTTCATTAAACAACACATCACTAACCACTAACTATAGTTACAACAGAGTCGTCGTTGATGGAAAAAAGGGATGCTATTCGTAATGTTTTCTAATATTATGAGCTTTTGTTTCCATAAAAAATTCTTAATTGCACCAACTTCCTGCATGATTTAAAAGTTAAATAATTTTGCATTACGAAAAAATCTGATGTGTCCAATACATGACTTCCCTATCTAGTTATTACAGGCTTTGTCCGGTTATTTTGTACAACCTATTGTAACACCTATGTAAATTTTTAGATGATAAACTAAATATATACATTTTCCACTTACTTGTAACTCGAAACATTTTTTATATATATATAAATTAAAATTTTTAACTTTTCTTTCATTTTTTCTAATACGGTCCATTTTAGAGAAATCAAGTATAAAACAAAACTTATAGAGCTCGATATCACAAACAATTTTTTATAAAAAATTTATTTTTTCATTTTGTCAAATTTCTCGAATACGGACCACTTTAGAAAAATTTTGTATGGTACAAAAATTATAGAGAATAAGATTGGAAGAAACTTTTATTTGAAAAATTTTCTTCTCCAAACGTAAATAACAGGTATATTCCATAAAATATTAGAATGACCTCCTATGAAGTTACCCCCCAGATGTTCCGAGTCTGCCAAAAATTTAATCAGTTCACTGCAGACCAAAATAAAGGTTAAGTTTAAAATTTGGTGTTTTTCTCTTTATCCGTTTTTGAGTTTTCTTCAAAATTCGAAATTTACATATTTTCTGCAATATGGTCCATTTTACAGAAATTATGTATAAAACAAGAATTATAGAAAACAATATAACAAACAACTTTTATTTAATCAATTTTCTTAAAAATTTAAATTTTTTACATTTTGTAAAATTTCTCGAATACGGACCATTTTAGGAAAACTTTCTAAATGACAAAAATGATAGATAATAATATAAGAAGTAACTTTTATTTAAACAAGTTTCTTCTCCACATGTAAATAACGGATATATTCCATAAAATATAGAAACTACCCCCTATAAAGTATTCCCAGAATAAAGCTTAAGTTTAAAATTTAATGTTTTTCTTTTTATCCGTTTTTGAGTTTTCTTCAAAATTCGAGATTTACACTTTTTTCAAATATATCGAATACGGTCCATTTTAGAGAAATTATGTATGGGCCAAGAATTATATCCCAAACAACTTTTATTTGTAGAATTTTCATAAAAACTACAATTTTTTACATTTTGTCAAATTTCTCGAATACGGACAAATTTTGGAAATTTTTGTATAAAACAAAAATTATAGAAGTAACTTTTATTTGAAGCATTTTCTTTTCCAAACGTAAGTAACAAATATATTCCATAAAATATAAAAATGACCCCTATAAAGTACCCGCCAGATGTTCCGACTCTGCCCAAAATCTAATCAGTTCCCCGCAGGCTGGAATAAAGCTTGAGTTTAAAATTTGGTGTTTTTCTTTTTATCCATTCATGAGTTATCGTGGATACAGACACACACGCACACACAAAGACATCATCCCGAAAATAGTCAAAACGGATTCAGGGGACCCCAAAACATAAAAATCCGTCGAAAACTCGAGGGTGAAAAAAATCATGATTCCTGTACTTTCCTTATCTGTATACAGATAGGAAAGTAAAAATCTGATTTGTCCAACACATGACTTTCCTATCTAGTTATTACAGGCTATTTCCGGTTATTTTGTACAACCTATTGTGCACCTCTGTAAATGTTTAGAGGATAAACTAAATATAATAAATTTTCCACATACTTCTCGAAACATTTTTTTTATATATTATTCATTGCCAAAGAAAATACTGAAAAATTAAAATTTTACACTTTTCCTGGAATTTTTTCATTACGGTCCAGTTTAGAGAAATCATGTATATAACAAAAATTATAGATATCGATATCGCAAACAACTTTTAGTTCTTTACAATTTTCTTAAAAAGCAGTATTTTGCACATTTTGTCAAATTTCTCGAATACGGACCATTTTAGGAACATTTTGTATAGGACAACAAGTATTAGAAATTAAAAATTTAAAAAAACCGACTTCAAAAACGAATGCCATCACCACATCTTAACCAAATTTATATGGGACCAACCCTGAGGTACCCCCTTACTAACAAAAAAAGAATCATATAAATCGGACAAGGTGGTTAAGCATTATCGCTAAACATACATAAAAAATTAAGAGTTTGAGGATTTTCTCATGGACCCAATTATTAGATTTTGACTAAATTTATATGGGACCACCCCTGAAGTACCCCCTTTCTAACAAAAAAGAATCATATAAATCGGACAAGGTGGTAAAGCATTATCGCTAAACATACATAAAAAATGAAAAGTTTGTGGATTTTATCATGGACCCAATTATTAGATTTTGACTAAATTTATATGGGACCACTCCTGAAGTACCCCCTTTCTAACAAAAAAGAATCATTGAAATCGGACACCGTGTTAAAGAATAATCGCTGAACATACATAAAAAAAAATATCGCGACGAATTGATAACCTCCTCCTTTTTGAAGTCGGTTAAAAATTATAGAAAATTATATTGGAAATAACTTTTATTTGAAGAATTTTCTTCTCCAAACATAAATAACAGATATATTCCATAAAATATAAAAACGACCCCCTATAAAATTCCCCCTCCGCCAAAAATCTGATCAGTTCACCGCAGGCCACAATAAAGATTAAGTTTAAAATTTGGCGTTTTTTTTCAAAATTCGAAATTTACACCTTTTCTCAAATATCTCGAACACGATACATTTTAGAGAAATTATGTATGAGACAAGAATTATATCGCAAACAACTTTTATTTGAATAATTTTCATAAAAACTTGAATTTTTACATTTTGTCAAATTTCTCGAATGCGGACTATTTTAGGAAAATTTTGTATAGTAAAAAAATTATAGAGAATAATATTGGAAGCAACTTTTATTCAAAGAATGTTTTTCTCCAAACGTAAATAACAGATATTTTATATTACATAAAATATAAAAATGACCCTCTATAAAGTACCCCCAGATGTTTCGACTCTACCCAAAGTCTATATAATCAGTACACCGCAGGCCAGAATAAAGCTTAAGTTCAAAATTTGGTGTTTTTCTTGCAATTTTTACCTGGAAAGGCGACTGGTTATGCAATTTTTCTTTTTTATTATTAGAAATAACGAATTTGATGTTCATATTCAAAACAGTCGTCGAATACATTTTGAAGAAAATGTATATTTCAAAACCGTATTGAATATAGGTAGAATGATTACTTGTGAATTACCATAACCCATTATCCTCTTATATGTTGTGTTTTTTATGTTGACAATGAAGTTGCGCTTTTTGATCAAAAATTGTGAATTTTTATGCTGGAACATGGAGATAATTGGTTTCTTCGATACAGCTTTGCCAGATGTACCACTAGGGTTGCCAGACGTCACGCTTTTGGCGTATTTGTCACGCTTTTTGACTTGCTTGTGCGCGCAACGCCACAGTACGAAAATGCCACGCTTTTGAAAAAAAAAATGCCACTTTTTTTATGCAAATGCCACGTTTTTTAATTAAAAGTCGCAGAGGAACCGGATTTATACAAACATAGACAGATGTCCGGGTAAAATATCCTCGTTTTTACGAAAAATAAGCCGAGGACCTTCTTTTTAGAAATGTTCACAAAAAATGAACCTGATTATATAAAAATGTTTGGTATTTTAACCTCTAATGATCTGTCGTCACGGTTGTTACGCTTTTCACTTTCGGAAATCTGGCAAACCTACATACCACATACCAGGGGCTCGATTCTCGAGTTCATTGGAAAATTTTCCCATGGGAAAAGATTCCACTACTTATATTCCCATATGGTAATAGGTTATGCAATTCTCGAACTTGTCGGAATAGACATTCCCATGGAAATAATAGTTTCACGTATGTCTGATATTAAGTTCACGAATATTTCGAAATAACCAATAACATTAAAGATATTTTAAAATTTACTGTTGGCATTATTTGTATTTGTTGTGGTTTTTGGGTAACCGATTACCTGCCGAGCCTCTGCGCTGGAGCAGATGCCGTGCCGAGCAATCGCTCGCATGACCGAGGACAAGTGAAAATATTCGATTATGTATAACTAAAACTTATCGAGTTATTTTTAGTTTTTCTTTTCACATGATGAAAAAAGAAAAAGTAGCTTTTGTATGGAAGAGCAACGAAAGTTTCGAGAAACTAAGAAATTCTTTCGTTAACGGAAATAATAAAATTTTCGAAAAGGTCTTATTAAATTTATTACAAATTTCTCAATTTGTGTTACCTATTTGCCAGACCCTTAGCAGCTCCCACAATTTCTAACTAATTTAAGAAAATCAGTTTCTTAGTGAAAGAGGTAAAAATAATATACCCACATAAATAAAATAATATCAATCTATAAATACACCAAAAAAATGTTTTAACTACAATTTCACCAAAAATCCAAGATATCCAATAATCTTTGGTTATGTCTTAGTCTTTCGCGTAGTCTTTCGTCAAATTTTCGACTTTAATGCGCAAACTCTAATACAATTCCCATTGGAAAACACAATTTCCAATGCTCGTAAGCAGGGGAATATTTTCCCATACTTCTCATTGGAAAATATTCCACCGCTTATGCCGAGAATACGAAAACTGAATTCCTATGGGAAAATTTTATTTTCCCATGGGAATAAAAGTCGAGAATCGACCCCCAGGGGGGTTATTTTCAAACTCGAGAGAAAGGAGTGCTCTATTGAGAGAAAGGAGTACTCTATCGAGAGAAAGGAGTATGTGAAAGTTGGCCTTGTACACACATCGGTTATAGGTACACACATGGAAGAAGAGTACACACGCCCCTAATCACGTGGTCAAATTCTCCTGAGAATATGAATTCTCTCGAAATAAACCAAGAGAAAAGGTCAGTGAGTAGCAGTGAGTAGTCATGAGGTAGTCACTGGTTTTCAAAATACAGTTTCCACGTTGACATATGACATTTCTCCTGAAATCTTGAAAGAAATGAGTACTCACACAGTTTGAAAATAGGTCCCCAGAGGTTCTTTCGTTCGCTGTTGGTGCAGTGTCCACCAGTGTAAATTACACCAGTTACACCACCTTATTTAGCTAAGTTTACTTCTCTCCTTGTTCCTTATACATATGTCGAGTGTAATTCACTCCTGCTAAATAGCTGGTGGAAAAAAATCCACCAGTGGACACCATATCGCCGACAGAAAGCTATAGTGGATTTTACACCGGGCCGAACGAAAGGTATAGTGTACGTTGGTGTAGTTCATTCCTACACCAGTGGAACGAACGAAAGAACCTACCATATACAAAGCGGTGGAGCCAAATGAGCTAAAAACGTAGCGGAATTCAAAACGTAAAGGGTTTTATTTTTTTAAACTCATTAATAAATTCGGCTTTGATATCCAAAACCAATTTTTGGCGAACTCCCGGTGATCAAACGGTATTACCCACAAAGCACATAGAGGTTCCACGTGAATGACCAAGGTCAAAACCGACAACTGACATTTTTTATGCTATTTGCTCCAAACTCTAGATGGGGCTACTGGTAAAATTCTGATTTCTTACTCCATTTTTAAGCTTTATGATGGGAGAAAAACTTAACCAAAGACTCCAAAGATGTGACGTGTATTTATTTATGTTTTTGGTTAATCTCATTTTTCCGTCTGATTTTAGTGATTTTTTGTTGGCTTTGGCTTTTGGTTTCTGTTTATAGTTTCGTCTTAGTTATTTGCAAAATTGTGATGTTTTGCTTTTCTATTTGCTACTGTGTTTTGCAATAATTTTGGTGCTACCTGTGGGTGCTACGTTGAAAACTTCGAGAAAAACTTATTGATTCACCATGCATCTGCATCATAAAAAGACAAACGGGTATAACAACTAATTGATAATCAATTTATCACTGGACTAGATTCCGAAATCATTTTTCACATAAGAGAGTAATACACAAAGCAGTGGAGTAATACCACCATCTGTATTTGGAAGGAAAATACCTATTTATCATTGAATGAATAGTTAAAATGATTCACCTTTTAATACAATACCTATATTACATTTGTCCTCGGTTTAAAAGACATTTATAAAATATATTTAGTGTTAATAAAATGTAATATCCTAGTCTCTACTTCACATTTAAATTATTGATAGGTATTTTATAGATTTGAGAGTAAGTATTCGTTAAATATGTATTATTATTATTTGTATTTATTTTTATCTAATAATATTTATTTAAGTTATTAATAAACATATTTTAAGAATGTTCTATTTGATTATTTATTGATATATCTTATATTTATTTAATTTAATAATAATATGCAGAACCAACTCTCCACATCAGACCCCTGCTTATAACAAATTAATTCCTCAAATTTGGTATAATCGACCTAAATTATTTTGTAAAATAAAAGTTTCGAACTTACTAGTTCCATTCTTTATTTTATAAAATAATTTATGTGGAAATCATTTAAAATTTAATTTAAAACTACTACCTACTCCTAAAAATTACAATTTGAATTTACCGCCATCTGTCAATTGTCATTTTAGTTCCAGCTCCAAACACAAGGTGGCGCTAATTTGGTTTAAAAGTTTAACATTGGCGTGGGGTCTCTAGAAGATACGTGCTTTGTGGTATTACCCGCATCATTTTCGCGACGTGAACCGCTCAAGGGGAAGTGTAATGACGTCATTGTTTGCTACCGCCGTGATGAATCTGTTCCCGGCCTCTTGAGGTGGTGAACAAACGGTTGATAGTGACAGTTGACGTTCATAGCATTCTGTAATACCGTTTTGTTTTGGAATTTTTGGTAGCTGCCAGAGTTGCGTTTTATTTTGTGCGTTCATATTTTTATTTTATGTATAATAGTTTTCGTTGAACTGTTTCTAAATTCTATTTGAATTTGTTATTTAAAAGAAAAATTGTCTGTCTTCCTCAATTTTAGATTTTTCAGTTTGTTTATTGTTAAATACCTTTTAAATACACATAACATAACCTCGTTTATCTAAAACGTTGACGATTGACGTAAACCGGTTCATTTTTGCGAAGAATTTTTTAGAAACCGAGACATAGTAGTGGGGGCATTTGATATGTCACGGTTTCTGTGTCACTGTTTATCAACGGGAGCACGCCAAAAAATGCTTTAAATAGTTAATATACAGATGCGGCGAGACTCAGAAGTGCGCACTCCTTGAATTTTCACACCAGCAACCAAGTTTCCGAACGTAACCAGTAACGCAGCCCAAAAATCTCAGCAGTAAAGAAGAACATGCATCTCGGGAGTTCCCCGGTTATTGGTTTTTATTTGTGTAAGGTGTAAGGTGAACAACAGCTTAAAATTTATCCAATCGTTAAGCGTGTTGTGTTACTCGGGTTACTTACTGTTTAGTATTTGTTTTGATTTTGTGGGAGCGCTTAATAAAAATAAAAAGATATGAACTATAAACAATAGATATTATTTTCGTATTTTTTATTCATTATAATGCATGGATCTGCTCAATGCAAAATTATTTTTTAATGTTAATGATATTAATTGTAGGAGCTAATATAATGTGTGATTCTGAGGTATCTGATGAATTTGATTTGGAAAAAAGCGGACCATCTACGCCGAAAAGGAAACGGGCAATAAGGAGTGAACTTGCCAGAGATGAAAAGAAAAGTCGAAAACAGCTTTTTTCCATAAAGTGGATGGAAGAAGAAATATTTAAGAGTTGGCTGCAAACCACTGAAGATCCAGGTAAAGCTAAATGTAAAGCCTGTCAGCTGATTTTAGGCGCCAAAAGAAGTGATTTGTTAAACCACGGAAAAAGTCAGAGACACCTTAAAAATATAAAAACTGTACAGGGGACTAGACCAATTACTGAAATATTCCAGTCTGCTAAACAAGATCAAAACCAAATTATAGCTGACATTAGATTTAGTTTGTTAGTGGCTCCACATAATTTTAGTTTTAGTTCTATTGATCATTTAACGGAAACTTGTAAATTAAGTTTTAGTGACTCGAAAATAGCAAAAAAATGCAATTAAAGCGTACAAAATGCACAAGCATAGTTAAAAATGTACTTTCACCTACAATTAAAGAAGCTTTGCGACATGAACTAAAAGACAATATTTTTTCTATTCTTGTAGATGACAGTACAGACATAAGCAATACACGGTTAATGTGTATTTTAGTTAGGTATATATACGAAAAAAAAAAAGATAAATGCGAATTATTAGAATTAATTCCCATAAAATCTGATGAAGGGACAGCAAAAGGGCTCTATTCTCTTTTTAAAAAATGTCTGGATAGTTTTAATCTAAATGTAAACAATATTGTTGGTTATTGCTCTGATAATGCCAGTGTAATGATGGGGAATAAAGAATCATTCAAGACATACCCTTTAAACGAAAATCCACAAATTGTCGTAAATGGGTGTATATGCCACTCGGCCCATTTAATTGCTGTTACGACTAGTCAAGAGTTGCCAAGTAATATAGAGACCTTATTGCAAAATATTTCAAACTATTTTTCTAGAAGTCCAAAGAGACAGTCGGTTTTAGAAGAATTCCAACAATATAGAGAAAGTAAAAGTTGAAAAGTCTTTTGGTAGGTACAGAGGGGGTAAACGTCAAACCACGTCGGGCGGCTCCGAGAATTTCGCAGTAATGTTTACCTGCCAGTGTCGTTTCATAGAATAAGTAATTTTAAATTGTTATCGGCGGAACCGGACAATCACATGTATTTATGGATTATAAATAATTATTGAACATGTATTATAATATTCAAATCATAATTTTACAAAATTTCAACAGCTATTCACAATTTATTAAACTATTTACTCGAAATTGTTATTAACATCTATAAAATAATTTTGTACGCCAATGTATCGCATCCACTTCGGTGAAATCCGCTGCCAACCTGTCAATTTATGTGTATAAAGTGGGAGAACTGGCAAAAGCATTTCCAACTTTTACTTCTGTTCTACATGCGAGCAGCTGAAGTTGAAATTTTAAGTCCTAGTAAAACCAGGTGGTTAGCACTATCAAACTGTGTTGAAAGACTAATTGATCAATGGGACGTGCTTTTAGAGGTTTTTCGATTGGCTGCCTTTGAAGACAAAAATCCAGTAGGAATTATGATATTTAATGAAATGCAAAATCCCTATGTCAAGGCCTACCTTTTATTTTTAAAACCTATACTTCCGAGTTTCAATTCTTTTAATGCCATGTTCCAATCTTCAAAAGTTTTGGTTGATAAAATTTATGCAGAAAGTAGGAGATTTGTAAAAATTTTATGTGTTAATTTCGTCAAACCCTCTTATTATGCAAATGAAGTTACTTCTTGTAGAGCAAATTAATGTTGGTACCGATACTATGAATCTACTTAAAGATTAAGGTATTTTTCGCGGCATAAACCAACATAAACGTTTATGGTAGATTATGTTATTTAGGCATGATCTTCCGTTTTCGCCGACATCAAGGACCGGAGGGGAGGTTGTAATGACGTCACTGTTTAGCATACTCGAACATGATCTCATCCACAGGCGATTATGTTAATTCATGTGTTTGACAAATGACTAGAACCGGTATACAAAGCTAAAAGATGGCTTTAATTTTAAAATTTAAATTAAATAAGATTGAAATTGAAGTAGAGGAAAGATACGAAATTATTCAACAATTAAAGATAGTAAATATAAATAGCACAAGTAGAATTTGTTGTAATTTTTAGACAATAGGTACATTAATAATTAATATAAAATAATTAAACTCTTAGGAATAATCGCGTGGTTTACACACACATAAGGAATTGAAGTAATAAAAAATTGTTACTTCAACTCACTGCCCACTTTCAAAACAGCATGGATTTTCCATTTTCGCGTCAACATATACTATATGTGGTGGGGGGATAGACGAACATGATCGAACAACATAATCCGTTTATGTCGCGAAAAATACCTTATTGTAACCCAAATGATAATAAACAATTTAAACTAAAGTGCTTAAAGTTTTATCAAAATTCAGTGGCCCAAGCAATTAAAAGGTTGCCCACTAAGGATAACTTCTATAAAAATATTTCATTTCTATAACCACAAAATGCTCTAAATGTGAGTTTCAAACATGACCTTAAAGAAATTTGATAACAAAATAGATCCAGTAAAAACGATAACAGAATACAATAGTATATTTTTCTGAGGATGAAAAAAATGCTTTAATGTGTGATAATATAATTCAGTTTTGGACATCATTGGTGGAAATTAAAAACTTTAACGATGAATACCCATTTAAAAACATTAGTACACTTGCGCTGATTATACTTAGTTTAACACCTTAGATTAACCTCTTTGTTTAACACACATGGTAACGCAGATGTGGAAAGGGTATTTTCAATAATGACTGATGTTAAATCAAAAAAAAGAAACCGTCTTTCATCAGAAACCTTAAGCGATGTACTAAGAATAAAAATTGATTTAGCAACTATCGGGCACGGTGGTGTAGCGGTCTATCGCGCTTATATTCATTTATAGGCAAGTTTATGAGTCTGAGACTGCTGGGTTTCGAATCCCAGACCAGACCATGTGGATTTTTAATTAAATTGCATTGTTCGGTTTAGGATTTGATGTGTGGCGTATTAATAGAAATTCAATTTCTGTTGATATGACATGCAGATTAAAAAAATTCGCCATACATTACCGTCTCGATGATGGTGGGTGAAGTTTTCCGGGTTTTCCTCACCTGTAAGTCAAATGGCACCATCAATCATCTTTAAGTCGCCCCGGAGCGCCACGGCAAATAATAATAATAATAGCCGTCCCTTTCCCCGGACAAGCTCAGCTTTTGGGGTTAAAATTCACTCGTAAGGGGGTGAATTAGGGAGAGTATTATTATTATTATTAACTAAAGGCAAATGCTGTACAACTTATTTAATTAACGAAACACATTTAGAAAAGTTTAATCAGTACATGTATACATTTAAAAAAACTGATGAGGTAACTGCACCTCCTGAGTCTGATTCAGATTAAAGCCATATTTTTTTTGTTATGTAAATGTATAATAATGTATAAATATTTCATTATTATCATTTAATTATTTTTATTTTTATTATTAGAAATTATATGCTGTAGGGAAGTAGCCATGGAGGAAGGATAATTAAGCGGCATTCTCTATTTTAAGGTTGGCAACTCCGCAACACTGGTAGATATTATTCGGTTTTGGTTCTGGCAACACCGCTTGTATATGTCATATGTTTTTGCAAATTCGGTTCAAAAATTTTAATATTAGAAAAAATAGTTATGAGTATTTTTCATGACGAAGTAGAAATAGAAGATTTCGAATACGACGAAGAAGAAGGTGTGTACCATTATCCATGTCCGTGTGGAGATCGATTCGAAATCACAAAAGTGAGTGCAAAAGTTAGGTTATGTCATTTTCTATTTATGTTATTTTAGGAAGAATTACTTGCTGGCGAGGAAGTTGCAACGTGTCCAAGCTGTTCTTTAATTGTTAAAATTATTTTTGATTTAGTAAGTTACATAAATTCAAATCTTTACCTCAATTTTTAATTAATGAATTCAAAATTGAATTCTTAATGACACGTTTTTTTGCAGGAAACCTTTAAGAAAGAACACGGAGAAATTAAAAGTTTGTCTGAGGATTTAAAAAAGTTAGAAATAGCGAAATAATTTTAAAATGACTGGCAAAGGAAGAGGAGGACGAGGTGGTAGAGGTGGAGTTTCGAAAAGTTTGAATAGAGATCAATTGATATCTCTGGGGGTTGGAACTAAAGAACTTATACCTGGGCCCGTTTTACAGCCTCCTATGTTATACCCGATTTTAGAAAAAAGACCTGTACCACTAAACGTAAATATGTGTATTATTAATAATAATAATAAAATTGAGAATAGTTATTTGTTACATGTTTCAAAAGCAACTTCATCAAGTAATGCATTTGATTTATTTTGAGAATATATTGTTCCTTTGGAGGTAGAGGGTTATATCTCAAAAATAATAATTTTACAGGACAGCAAATTGAAATTATTTGTTAAATCTTATTTGGAATTCTATCTAATGGGTAGAACATTGAACTTTAATGTATATCAGTATTTTATGAAATTAGTATTTTCAGAAAATTTAGAAGTTTAACAAGTTTTCTTTTAAAATCTTGCTTTTTTATTACAATTCTGTTTGTAACCTTGTTTCCTTAACACTCTGATTTCCAAATCTTTCGCTTTTGACTGACAAGGTTTTCTTAGTTGATGCGACAAGGTCACATTATGGTGTTATCAATCCATTTGTACTCAGTGCTTATTAGCGCTAAGCACCTAAATGTTAATGCTTGTTTCCAAAAATAACGACATTGCGTTGAGTTACAAATTATTTTTTGGTTACAGTTTATAAACATCATTTGTCCTTAATTATCATAACTGAGAAAAAAATCAAGAGCATTGTAAAACTTGCTACAGAAAAAAGAAAAGTAAGAACATATAGTGGTGGATAACTGATGACCTGTAATGTGCCATGACTGTCATGTTAAAAATCATAATTCTTGAGTTACATACCTATTTTCTTTAGTAATATAACGTATTCAAAATAAAAAGTTATTCATAATTTCCAATGAATTTATTTTAACTTGTCAAGTGCCATATAACTTTTAATGAACTATAAAATCCAGCGACACGCTTCTAATAAGCATACACAACTCAATATAAAGTAAATCAAAAAAGTCTGAAGCGGCCTTGTATGATACTGGTGCTATTGGTCATAAAAGACTGACAACACAAAAGTGTTCCTAACAGTCAGTCAGTCAGTCTTACATGACCTGACATTACAATATTAAACAACACAAAATTAGTATGCCGACAGACAGATATTACTATAAAAATGTACCTACTTAGCTATTTAAAGTGCTACAATGCAAAATATCTCTTTTTCACAAATGTATGACCTTGTTTTTGTTACAACTTGAAATATAACTATTTTCGTGATCAAAAGTTTCCTTTCCAAGTAAAAGGTAAAGTAAGATGTAATGGTATTCACCATCATTAGGCTGTAATCTTTGTAAAATTAGAAAATTATATTTGCTCTCTGGTGTTGTTAACATGTAAACTCACATATTTCTTTTTTCTTCATAAAACTTTACAGTTTTAAATATTTTCTCATGGACATCTCAAAATCAAAGTGTTTTGGGATGTAACCCTCTTCTTCCAAATGAATGAATATGTGTGTTAAACTGACTAGTCAAATTGTAAATGGCATTACTTATTGTGAAAATGTTTGATCTAAATGTTCATAATAAAGTGGCAATTCATTTGTAATTAAAACATGTAATTTAAATAATTTGGGAGTAGTTTTATAAAGTTTAGAACATGTCATTAGGAAGGTATTGTAATGTCATTAGAAAGGTATTGTAATGCCATTGAAAACAGTTTTTGATTTTTCTTTTCAAATAAGGGCGATATTACTGTATATGATGACTTCATATACCCAGTAGGCTGAAGATTTATAAACTGACGGTGAATTTTAGTTTGAGGAAAATAAATTTATAAGAGTTGTGTCAAATAATTATAATATCTCTGGTACCAACAATGTAATAAAAAAAACAATAGTGGAGCACAAAACCCTTGCATAAAAGGCTCTTCAGCAAAGTTAATAAGGTAACTGTACTGGTAGTTGGTATTATAAGAAAATAAATGATATAAAAAATCATAGATAACAATATTTTATGGATATTTCAAATACTCCTTATTTAATATTATAAATTAATTCATTCCAAACAATACACAAGAAAGAGAACATGTTTAATTAACTAATTTATAATTTGCCAGTAAAAAGAAAAACCTAATTATTTTATCCAGTAATTTACATTGAAAAAGTTATATTGTTCTAGTATTTGACATACACTGAAACTAATGAAGACATCTTTCTGTCAAAGACGAATTCATATTTTAGTCTATCTCCAGCAGAAGTAAAATACAATTTTTCAATAATGTGGTCAATTTGTATGGTACTGACATCATTTTCATTCAATTTAGATACAGTTTTTTGTTCATTAATTAACACAAGGGCTACTACTTGTTCTAACTCCTTGTTTGAAAATATTGCTTGTTACAACACATAACTTTAGCAGGCCTTTTTAGTTGGAAACTGAACCAACCAGTAAATTATTTTCTTTATACTCTTCTTGCAGTGGTATATCTGGTGTTATTTTCTCTTCTAACTTTGGTTTATCAAATACTTCGTTGACACATTCACTCTCATCTGAAGAATTTTGGTTTGCAATGTTGAAATTATTCTGAAACTTTGCTGCAGTAGCAACACATTTTCCTCTTGAAACAGCTTCCATAGCAGCTGCTATTTGCTCTTCTGCGTATTTTAACATTCAGCTCTTCACTGGTGGCGTCCTCATTAGTGAAAGAAGTAGTTTTCACCTAATGATCCAGTATATTTATGGTGAGGTGCCATCTACTGGATATAGTACATAGAGTCGAAAAAGTAACAACTTGTATCTATATATATATATAGGGATTATTCAGCACATATCACTTCTTCAATAGGTTAATCTTTATTTTTCATAGTGCTATAAGAATAAATTTTAAGGCATCCCTAGTACATGGCATCTATGCCAATTACTGGAGCTTCTGTAAAATATTGATCCAGGAGATGACACTTAACATGTGGAGTAATTTACTGTAAATTGTGAATAAAAACTAATGAAAAATGGAATTAGGCATTAAATATGTTAACCATGCCAGTTCATTATAAATATTGTTAATGTGATGACTTACAGAAAATAAAAAAATAATATAAAACCTTACTTATCCTCACACCACAACAAACTATTTCCGGTAGTTCAACCTCTAAAACTAGATGGCACTAGGAACCTTAGTTGCATATTTTAAATAAACAAGATTTGAAAGTAAACTTATTATTTAAGTTTATGTTATTAAGTACCATGTACTATATTTCAATCTACTGGTACTTTCTCAAAATGTATTTTATTGTGCATTTAATTAATCTAATAAATTTATATTTTTTAGCAATCCCTTGATATAGATTATCTTTTATTACTAAGGCAAGACTTTATAGACCATATGCAATTATCTGGATCATACTTGAAAATGCCTGGAAGTAAATCTCAACCAGAACAAGAAATAGACAAGCTTGTGGCACAAATACCTAATGCAAAAGAAAAATATGATTGGAAATTGTTCCCTTCAGAATTAAGACCTAAAATGATGGTTAAAAGGGTAATTAAAAAAGAGAATGCAAAAGAAGTGAATGTACAACAAAGGTTTGTGTATTATTAAATTATTTAGTATCAAGTTCTTTTGGAAAACCAAAAATGATGACTCAGAACACTGAAAAATTATCTTGTACACGATTTCTTGAATATGATTTGTAAAAAGATAACGATTTATCATGATCTATAGTCCCCTTTTTTAATACAGATTTTTCAAACTTTATTTTTGGTACCATTTAAACCTTTCACCAAAATAACATACATGTTCTTTATTTAAAAATCAAATATCTGGTTGCAAGAGCAATCATTAAAATTTATGAGCCTGATAAATTTTAACAGAATTTAAGAATGTGATGTCTGAATGGCACTAAGTTTATATTAGTCGCAGTTTAAACATTGTCAAACCATTAAGCTAGTAAATTTTAATGGATGATCTTGAAACCAGCAGAACGAGTTTTACTTCCAAAATAAATTATTTTGATTATATCACTTGAAATGTAATAATTTTGTATACTTTTAATTGATTAAATTGTTAATCATGCATCATGTATTTGTCTAATAGCTGATAATCATATTGGTACATTTGGATTGTGTGTTATAAAAAAGAACCAATCAACATTTTTCCCCAACAAAGTTACCTCACTCCAGTGTCCCCCAGAGGAACACAATTTTTGGTTAACTTTCATTCGTGTTTTTTAACAAATTCTTCAAATATTTTCTCTAACCATCTTTATTATAGCTTATTCTTTTACTATATAATACCATCCATTTCATTTAATGATATAAAGATCTAGTATGTAAGTTTATCATGTTATTGCTCTTGTACTGTAGCTGCATATTATGGAGCTGTAATATTTCATTAATTCGTGATATAATCTATTGAACACAACTTTTGGTATTGGGACTATGAATAGTCACATAAATTATTGACAACACACTGCATTAGCTTATGTAATTAAGATAGTCCCTATACCACTAATTGTATTGTTTATGATAAGTTAGTTGACTTTAAGCAGATTCTATCATTATAAACTTTTCATTCATTCATTTCAAAAGTCTTTATTTACATTATGTACAATTGTGTCAAATAGTTTACAAATACAAAATATATAATATATACATTATAATATATAAATATAAGAATAGAGGGACTTCCAATAGCGTCTGCTGGAAGCGTAGCCTACTAATTTACCGATGTTGTGGTCGTATTTGAAAAACTACTTTTATATTTTTGAATTTGAATTTACTTGGCATCTCCTTATTAAAACAATATTATATGCCAGTTGTGGTGCTTAACAAGAGCGATAATGGTTAAGTTTGTAAGTTTTTGTCTGACTTTAATTGTGAGTGTCATCCCTGAAAAACGTAAAAAACAGGGTTGTCCTTGTTTGTGTGTTCGTCACTTGTTAGTCTTTGTACGTGAGAAAGTCAAATCTATAGACTACACAGTGGAATCCCCATTCAATACTGAAATTGGAGCGCTAGCCGCAATTTCTGTATTGAATAGTGACGTCATCGTGCAGTCTTCCGTCCGACTAGAGTTGATAGCTAGCCGGATTCGAGATTTGACTATTCAGTGTAATTCTCGCTGCTGTGAGTCAGTTAGTAGCAGCGCCCAGTCCACGTCCTGTCGTTAGCTGAGGGCTGTTTCAATCACGTCTGTAAATTGTGAGTGCTTTATGCAAACATCCATGTTTCCTGTTTGCACCATCTCCTTCATGTA